CATAACCAAACTACTGGTTAATGAATAAAGGCAGTACGTTTAATTGTCTAACCACAGAGGAAACTTTATGTTTTCCGAAAATTCTAGCTTTCCCTTTTCTCAGAACTTCCAGCTCTTATCTGCTTTTTGATTAACCTCTCTCTGGAGGGCTGGTTTTGCATGAGGGTTAAAAGAAAATCTAGATTTCAAAACTACCTTGTTACAGGTATTTCACATTCCACTGCTCATAAATGAAACCTCATCTTTTACAAGGAAAGCGGCTGACATGAAGGAGAAGCTTGTTGAATAGTATTTGCGAAAATCGAACATTGATGGCTTGTTATCTTACTTTAGTTATTTAGTGTCATTAGTCGGTAATAATTATATTCTATGTCTATGCTTTGGAGAATATTGTTTTTGTGTGTGTTAAGAGTTCAATTTAAAGTCCCGGCGGAAACACGTGGCTGGCGTGGGTTCCGAACGTTGAAGGTGGCGTATGTGTGTGCGACGTACGTGTGCTGACATATGTGTGTGCGACGTACGTGTTACTGACATATGCGCGCGTGCGTGGCGTACGTGTGCACGATGTACTTAGGGCGTACGTTCGTATACGCGCCTATCTATACTTAATATGTATGTCAACTACGTGTTTACGAAGTGTGTACGACGCACGTATATGTGACACAGATGTATGCGTCGCACGAATACAAGTGTGCCAAATGCACGTTCGCCACATGCACACCGCGTCAGTACGCGTATGTCACATAAACATCGCATACACATGCGACGCGCTCACGCGCGCCACATTACAGGCCTTATGCTTGAATGTCATAAACACGTCACGTACACGTACTTTACTACTCTACGTCACACGTCACTCCCACGTAAGCAGCAAACACGTAAACGACGCGTACATCGGCGCACATACGTCTTTGCGTTATATACACGCGCGTCATGTACACACACGTTGCGTCACGTATACGCGCACCACACATCCGTCACGTGCAAAACGCCACGTACGTGACTGACAAGCAAAAAACAATAATAATAGTAATAATAATGAATAACAATAATTATTAATAATATTTTAATACACTTCTCATGATGACGAAGGCAACGGGAAGTCTGTCAAGGTAGAGATAACTGCATGAAGATGATAATAATGAGAGAAGTGTATGATGATAGAAGTAATCGCATGTGTCGCCGATTTTCTTGAATCGTGACAAAGATTAAGCGTTCTTCCTATCTCTTTGGTTGGTCAAACTTGGGTAATTAAACCTTTAATCTGATAAGTTGATTATTACAGAAACGAATTAACAATTTACAATATCAACAAGAGAAATTTAGCAACGTTATCAGCAACAAAAAAGAATCTAAATCACGCCTCCGATATTCCAGCCAACAGACTTGTTGGAACACATTTATAAAATGATTTTGGTGGTCAGGAAGCTTCACTTCTTCGAGTAAGGAAAATCCTGGTACAGTTCTGAGATTACAAGAATTAGCACCTTTGTTAGCGCATGTGGAATGGAATTCTTTGAATTTCAGGTTCTCGTTGAATTCGGCTGCGAAGCCTTCGGTATTTGCGTTGAGCTCGTTTTTTTAATTCATCTAGGTACTCCTCTCGCCATACTACTAGAGATCTTCCAATGTATAGAGCAGAGAGAATCCGGAATATAAGCTCTGAACTTTGTTTGGTCGGATGAATTTAAAGAAATAATCAGTCCCAATAAGTAGGGCTGTTTACGATAGCTCTTTAGGCTATCCAGTTGGATTCGAGATTTGATTGTACGTAAATCGTTGTTGGTCAGTTCTACTTGTAATTTATTCGTTACATGTTCCATCGTACTAACTTTGATTCATATGATTTTTTTCCTATCAACACTTATAGCAATTTCGGTTTTACTGGTGACGCACAATGTTCTATTGCCAAATGAAGCTATGGTCATTACTTATTCTTCGGCTTCTGGTAGATTTAAACGCGTGGCTGTCTTTAGAAATAAACAATAGTTGTGACCCTACATCGAATAGTGCTAGCGCCTTTTCTTGAGTTTTTGGCCTTTTCGGATTAACGACGCTAATTTTTTTGCATAGTAATAAAACCTGTTTATCTGCCGAATCTTTACGTTCGATCATGAGTTGGTTGTAACTGTGGATCCCAGTTCTTCCTTGGTTATTGATCCAGAGAGAACCGAAAGCTCAAGAACGATCTGCGACTCCACTCTGTTATCGTATTTAGCATCCAGCACAGTAATACAATTGTTTTTGTGATGATCAACACATTCTGCTGAATTGTGAAAACATAGTTTACTCGGAACTGGGCAATTCCTTTCCATATGCCCCTTCGGCACTCGTTGTCTCAGTGGTCCTTATTTCAAAAGGCATGCGGTCTTCTCGACTTGTTAATTTTGGAGTTTGAAAATTTAGTCAGCTGAGGATTGTTTGATTTAAACTAACTGATTGTTACGCGGAAATTTCTCTTCGTATGCATAGGTTGAAGTCGAACTCGGCTGGTTTCCGTGATTCTTGATGTGGCGAAATCCAAAACTAACCCATCCAGTTTGTTTGTGATTTGTATCGATTTGCAGCATTCAAAATTTCCTTTCGTTTCTTATTTCTGTGGGTCATCTGCGTATGGCAAATATACAGAAGGGCCATTGTACCAGTGCTTCATCTATTGCGGTACCGTCCGGGGATTTTATTGTAAATCTCCCCTCCTGCTTGTTGTGTCTCCTTTCCAGACATTGTAACTTCGCCCATCTGTCTACTATATCCTTCCGAAGTTTCGTCCATCTGAGACATCAGTTCTTCCACCACTCATCATTCATTAACCTACATTTATCCGATTATCTCCCTCTATTAATTGACTTCGCTTTATTGTACTGAACATTTCATTGACTAATAAATTGTTTTACGAATTCGTTATTTGTGATTGCAATTCAAGGTTCTCCTTTTACAGCAGTACTTATCGAAGGAAGTAAAGTTTTTCACTTTCCAGTAATATTTCGATTCAGTTCTTCTCTGCTTCCCTCACGACAATAAACACAAGTTTCCGGTGTCCGATGTCGGAAAACCGAGGGAATTCGTAACATGCATTGCAAAATCACATGACATTCAGCTAAGTCGTTAAATGTAAACATCGTGGTTTAATATTTCTCTCTTTTGCCATGCTAGTTAAATGTAAATATGATTTTTCACTTTTTTTTGGTTTTATACAAAATAGCTGAAACAATGTAAATATCGTATCAGATTTTTCAATATTATTATTGGCTTTATCCAGTAGTTAAAATCATATAAACGTCCTCATATTGTTGGAGTTTTTATTACCCATTATATAAGTCCCGTCCCCTCTACTTTTATGAATTTTTCTGAAATATTACTGACTACCGAAAACAACCCTTACTATACGCATCACTCCTATCCGTTTAATACTGTAATTATTCTCGTATTGTCATCTTGCTAATAAAACAAATCTTACTACTAATTTATTTGTGCCGGGTTATTATTGTCTTACGACCAAAAGGATTCACGTAAGCTTCCCTTTATCAATTTCTATTTCTTTAATAAAAAAGAACCAATCTTTTACGACAATTTTTTGGTGCCCGAGGCGAGGCGCGATGATCACTAGTACAATAGCAAGTGTTAAACCTGCAAGGGGAAGGTTAGAGAATCTCCTTCACAAAGTAAAAACAATGGATATGAAATCACTGGAGCGAAGTTTAGAAGCGAAAAAACGCTATGAATTTCACGAAGTAAGAATTATCGAAGGTAAAATTATGCGAATTTAAATGTGTAGTAATACGCTGAAATCTGCGAATGATAAGTAGCTCGAACATGTTCAGAGAACTTTAACGACAACAACAGATGATGAGGAAAAGTACGCGGAGAACACGGAGAAACGGGAGGTAAAAGAATCTTCGCACTAATACAAGAAGGGAAGGAAGCGGTTATCACTTTAGCTATGTACAAGAATGAAAATGAAATCGACCAAAAACTAATGTGATTGTCAAGAAACTCAAGCTTGCTTCGGAAAAATGAGACTCCAATTCCTCACCATACAGTCAACTTACCACAATTATCATTCCCCATCTTTAATGGGGATCGGATCCACGATAATGAGAGAATTCTTGGAGTTACGCTTATTATCTGTTATCACTTGTTACATACGTGGCGTTTTGCACGCGAATTATATGTGATGTACGTGATGTGTATGTGACATGACATATGTGTGCGCGACGTGCATGAGGCTTTCATCTACAATACATGTACGAGATATACCACCTACGTGAAGTGCGTCCAAGTGACATGTGTGTTGCGTGTTGACATTGTGTTGACATGTGTGTTATGTCTTATGCCCACACATCGCGTACATTACATCATGAACACGTCACGTGCACGCAAGTCACACACATATCCGTCACATTTGCGTCACTTGCGCGTACAGCTCAAACGCGTCGCGTACACGGACGTCATATACACGATCGTAACGTAAGCGCATGTAATAGTGAAACGTACACGTGCTAAGCGTACGCGTTCGTGACGTGCAAATACGTTACACAAATTTTACGTACACACATTCATACACATACACGTTTTCAAAGGCCATACCATCCAATTCAGCAACTGGATTATCGAAAACTAACAGCAGTTGAAAGTGACGAATACGATATGCCAACTAGCAAAACCGATAGCAATATCGAAAAAAAAAAGCAAAATCAAACATTTTTCACCATGGGACTGAGTCTCTTTCTCACAGAAAATTCAAGCAAAAACAAGCTTGTAGGACGATTATTTGAATATTTTTGGAGAGATGTAGATACTTTCTAGAATTTTCCATAACAGATATTTTCTAGAATTTTTCTAGTAGATGTTTTTGGAATTCCCTATGACAGATATTTTTTCCATGATAGACATTTCCATAATAGACACTTCTCGTAACTTCCACAACTTTTCTTTCATTAACTGGTTTAGAATGCCTATTGACATTTTCTTTAACAGTGGAAAACCATTTGATAAAATGTCACCATTATAATATAATTTATGATTACTATGCAAAATTCATAACTTTGAAAAAAGGTCAAAAGACACCTTGTGTAGGAAAATTGAAAATAAAAGAGTTTGATTAGGAAGGGTTTGTTCTTAGGCACAGACATTTTCTGGGAAGGTATTCTTCGTTTGGTTCAGGAGGAAGTTATTAATTCGCAGAGGATAGCAGGTTGTAATAACGCAGAGGATAGGAGTAAAATATTTATCGAAGAGAGTAAGGGATACAATGTACAGTCCAGTCCTTGGTTGAATGTTTGAAAAGGAAAATGATGACCTTCCAGTGATAGCCTTGAGTATATATACAATTTTAATTAACACGATGAGCATATTTGGGGGCGTGGTTTATGACAAACATCACAAAAAACTGTCAAAATCCGATTCCAACGAGAGGCTCTGTTTGCAACATCAAGCACTGCAATTAAGATCGGTTCTTAGACAAAGAAATTTAGCTTATGAGTGTGCTTTGTTTCGTAAAAAAAAAGATGTTAACTTAAATAAAGATAACAAAGAAAAACGCATGAGACAATGAATTTGAGGAATGTAAATTGGTTGAATGATTCA